TGAAGTTACCTGGATAAGCCAGTTCTATTTCGTATAGGCTTCGCCCTCTAAGGCCATCGCTATTGGGTTTACCCCTACGCGCGCATGTGCGGCAAAGACAAATTTTGTTTTTCATTTTGTCTCGATCTGCTGTTGACGGAAGAGAGGGAGTTGGATGGCTCCTCGCTTCCCCCGTTCTGACCTCCGATGACGCCGTCCTCGGCGCTACTAGGTTGCCGCGGCGAGGCAAGCTAACAGGGAGCTAACGTTGAGCTAATAGATAATTAAGTTGTTAACGATCCTCGGCACTCAGAGCAAACGACTGGTAAGCTATGGGTCAGGACTGTGTGTTTTACCTTGTTGCTCCTTTTGTGGAAGACGCTCTGTGCCTGTCTCAGCCGAATCATCCACACCAAGCACACATTTCCCACACTGTGTGAGCCAGCTGCTGTTAGCAGGCTAACCTGCAGCTCGAGCTCAAAGCAACAAGCAAAAAGGACCCTGGCCCGCTGCTGCCTCAGCTGAGTCAGCGGCCATTAAACAAGCCTGGCTTCGATGTCACAAGCAGTTCATTTTCCATGTCGCCAACCTGTCCCTCCATCCCCTCACTGGGGTAGCGGCAGTGTTATGATCCACGAGTGCACCTTGGACGCGTTTTTTCACATTCCCGTCATCCCAGCAAGACAGGAAGTTCCTGCATGTTTCTTTTTTTGGGCCATCCAGTATCAGTACAACCGCCTGCCATTTTGTCACTCTATGGCCCCATGAACCTTCTCCATGTGTGTCGAGACAGCCTTGGGGCCGCTGCGGCGGGTGGGCATCATAGTCCTGTTTTACCTGGACGACCTGCTGCTGCTGGCACGGTCCCGGCGACGGGGCGTTCGCGTGCAGATGGCCAAGCTCGTTGCTCACCTGTCTCGCCTGGGTTATCCACGGTGAACTGGGAAAAATTGCTCCTTTTCCCTCCCAGACACTCGGGTGATCAGGCTACTTTCCTCCCCTGGGCATGGTGCTGGATTCCCCCCTCACGAGAGTGCGGCTCTCCCAGGAGCGAGTGGACGCTCTGACAGAACTGCTCCACCATGTGGCTCCACCAAGGGTGGTGAAGGTGCTTTCAGTCATGAGGCTCCTGGGCGCACCCCCTGTGGCCTCCTCAGCTGTTGTATGCTTTTCCGCCAGTTCGGCACCTTTCGGACAGCCTGCAGTTTTCAACCTTGGCAGTCATCCTGGTGGCTCCAGTGCGCACAAGCGCGTTGTGGTTTCCCTGCCTCCAGCGACTACTGTCGGGTCAGCTGTGGAAACTGCCCTGGAGGGAGGATGTCCTCTCTCAGGCGGTAGCCACGGTCCGGAGTTATTCGCTTCTCGCTGAGCGGCGGCACCTAGAGGTTTTAGGTCTCTCCCAGGCGGTGGTGTGCACCATCCAGGGATCGCTTATACTCAGTCCTCTTACTCCTCCAAATGGTTAGCGTCCATTTCATCCTGCCACGAAGACCTGCCGCTTAACGGTGGGATTTGGCCCAAGCCCTTTTCGAGCCCTTGGAGACGGCGGAACTGCAGTTCCTTTCGGCCAAGTTTGCGCTGCTCTTGGCTCCGACGTCGGCTGAGAGGGTCAGCGACCTGGCTGCCCTCTCTGTGGCTCCGTTGTGTCTCTGGATACAGGGTGATGGCAGTTCTGCTGTCCTGCGCCCTAATCCTGCTTTCATGGCTAAGAGCATCACCAGCTCCTTCCCATCGCGGGTGATCAGGCTACTTTCCTCCCCCCCATGGGTCTGAGGATGAAGCTACATCTCACCTCCTCTGCCCAGTGCTATGTTATGTTGGCTCTGGGCAGGTGCGTCTGTACTTGGTGGTATCGTATAGGCCAGTGAAGCGTTGACTCATCCTGCTTCGCCTCTAAGCCCAATAGCGATGGCCTTAGAGGGCGAAGCCTATATGAAATAGAACAATAGTTACGTATTGTAACTCCAGATTCTATGACTATAGGCGCAGCCCTCTAAGCAGTGGGCCTCACTGAGCCTTGGTTCTCAGTGCTGAAGAAAAGGCACTATGGGAGCCAAAGGCTGGGTCTCACCATTGTATATATACAAGTTGCGGACGTAGGTGAGGCTCACGCTGCGGTTGGGCGTAGACAAAATGTATCAATGCCGCGCAGGCGCTCGTAGGGGTAAACCCAATAGCGATGGCCTTAGAGGGCTGCGCCTATACTCACTATGGGGTAGTGATGGTGTAGTGGATGAGATGCATGATGGTGTGATGGTGTAGTGGATGAGATGCCTTTGGTGTGAGAGACCCGGGTTCAATTCCCCACTGTGACCCATCCACCATTGTGTCCCTGAGCAAGACACTTAACCCCTCGTTGCTCCAGAGGCGTACGACCTCTGACATATATAGCAATTGTAAGTCGCTTTGGATAAAAGCGTCAGCTAAATGAATAAATGTAAATGTAGAATCTGGAGTTACAATACATAACTATCGTTACCCCGCTTCGTAGTACAGGCCACTGTTCTGTTCTGATGGTCTGACTTCGTGCTTATCCTGAGTGTGGGATAAACTTGCCCCTAGTGCATTGACTGTGAGCTCTCCTAGCACTGGGTTAACGTGTCTGCTGGTCAATATTTACTGAATGTCAGCTAGTGTGTGTTTTATGGTGTCATTGATATCTCAGCCAACCTGTCTCTTTGTGCTTAACATTGTTTTAATAACGATTTTTTGATTAATAAAGGTTTATATTTTAATCTAACTGCTTTTTGGTCATACTTGCCTTCAGGGTGCTAGGGACCTGTTGTTTGTGGCTCCAAGGGGGGCCTACACTATCACTATTTGCTTAATTTATTTGTAGTATTTATTTAGACAATGTGTTAGTAATTCAAATATATATATTTATTTGCTTCGTTTGGGCCCCTATGTACAAGCTTCAAATAGCTTAAAAATGGTTTCCCTTTTCACAAATCTGCATTATTTCTAATGACTGTACTTGTATTTTAAGGTTTTGTGAAAAAACTAAACTGGACTGAACTAAACTGAACTGAGCTTGGCATCGTTCAGTGACAAAGACTAAAACTAACGCTGAAACTACTAAAAACTAAACTAAAACTATACATTTTCAAAAATAAAAACTGAACTAAACTAGCAAACGCACATTAAAAACTACTTAAAGCTAAACTGAAATTGAAAACATAAATTGTCCAACAATTGTATTTCACCTGCAGGGACGGACTGGCGCAATAATTCAGGCCGGGATTCTGACTCGACCCCAGGCCACTTTGTTCACACAAACCACCAAACCGCGAATTTTTGTGGACAAACCAATAGATACCAAACCAGGTATAGTCTTTGCCAACAGCAGAGAATCCGGTCAATTTTCAAAATAAAATACCCTGTGCAGACTCCCGATCATATATCAACAACAAACTGAAAACAACAGAAATTGAAAACAAAAAGTCAAAATGAAATAAAAGTAAAAACTAATGAAAAATCCAAAACTTGGGTAATACTGATAATATTTTTATTTTTATATTTTTTGTGGTATTTCTATGGTGATACTTTTTAGTAATACTATAGTGTTTTTGTACGGGCAGTCTCCCCTACACTGGGACACTGACAGAAGGTCCGTCTATTTGATGAGCTCATACTAAATGGTGCACGATATTCATGTTTTCCGTATTGATTTTAATGGCCAGAAATAGTTATTGCAGTAACAATAAATTAACACCAACACCAAACACCAGTATGCTGTATGTAAATGCAGCCACAGCAGCTACACAGTCAACAACAGGAACTAATGCACGAGAACTGAAGGGAGTTGAAGACGGAGAGACAGCGCCTGGACGAGAGAGAGTGATTCAGAGAGAGATGACCCATGACCAGTTCATCATAGTTTATAATAATGCAGTGCAGTGAAGATACAGATGTTTCATAGATGAGACAAGCATCTATAATGCGAATCTGTCTGTCACTGTTAACAGAGATTTGAATTGATGTTTTTTATAATGCCTGGTTTTAGGGATACTAAGAGGGTTGCAGCACCCCTTTTTCCTGTGTCCATGTCTCTACACATTGAGTGAAATGGGTGAATTATAGCTAAGGCCGCCTCTGGTGTTCTGTGTAATCAAGGTTTTCTTTCCTCAATGTTCCCAGTACAGCCTTGCTTCACATGCATTCAGAAAGCAAAAGTAATTATTCTTGCTCACTGCAAAACCTGACAAAGAAAATTAAATCTGCATTCCAAGCTACACAACTTAATTAATTGTTAAGCTTCATAGACATTTTTTTCTTTCCAATCTCACCAGTAGAAATTTAAAGTAATATTTTGTATGTTTTTCAAGTGAAGAAAAATTATATTTCTACTGCATCTCCAATACTAATCCTCCAATATTAATTAAACAAAATGTCCAAACATTTTCAAAGCAGAAATATTAGTTCAAGTGATTAACCAAAAAGCATACAGGAAGTTCTTGGTCCATGTTATATTATTTATATGTTCTATTTTGCAGGCTGTGTTTAAAACAGATTCTCATGAACACTAAACAGGCCAAGAAAGATTAAACAGATTTGGTGGTGGTCTGGGATTTACCCAAATAGACAATAAATGTTTTAGCCACAGCAATTAAATTAACATAGACAGAGGCTTAAATCCAAATCCTAATGGTGTATATATACAGTAACAGTTAGTTTAATAAATGTACTGCCTTGGCAGATGCTTTTTGAATGCCTCCTAGTTTTAGAAAAAAAGACCAAATGAAAATTCCAAATCTCATTTTTTTTTCTTTTTCTCTTAAAGGCAAAAAAGTGTAAAATTTGCATATTGTGGCTCAAATAATCCTTTTTCTATTCCATTCAGATAATGAAACAGAAAAGAGATACTAATTACCTGGAGCCACAGGCTGTTCAGTGACAATTACAGATTGCTTCTTGTTCTTTGACATCTAGCTTTGAAAGATCATCACGTTCAGTTACTAATTGGGTTGCCCTGGATCACATCTGAATTCTTGAATGAATTCCACTATTTCATGCATGCTTACCTTCCTTTTAGCCCTGAGCTGTCCATGATAGTTATCAGATGAGTCTCCTGGAATCTCCCCTCCCCACAGAGTCACCCCAACGATGGTGTAAGTGATGCCCATCACCACTAATGGCAGCACGTAGACCATAACTGTAACTATGATATGATACCTAGGAAGTAAAAGGAGAGAAGCCTGAAGAGTGATTACATTTATAAAATATTTATACATATATACTATATATAGTCTATATAGAATTTCACACAGAAATTTGACATTGTACCTGTTGCACCAGATGAATGTAGGTTTGATCGAAAATTATTAGTGTCTACAATAAATTAACACTCACTGCTACAGTGTTTCAGCAAGTGCCCCAAAACAACATGTGTTTGCAGTAAATAATTATGACAGCATGCAAAGGAGGAAGTCAGGTGAGGTTACTGTAGAGCAACAATGTCCGTGTTGGAAGGAGGTCAGTGTAGATGGACGTCAACAAAGCATTGGACTGGAGAAAGACGTTCTTTTCTGGTTTCCTACGACAATCACTTCAATCAAAAACTTGTTTTCTTTTAAGCATAACCATAATTGTGGTTAGTCATATGACCTTGACGATGGATCAAACCAACATGTTTCCCCAAACTTATCGACATTGTTTTTGTGCCAAAACCTTATCAAACCATAACAATACTGTACAATACATATTTTATTTTAATTATTAGTTAATTTTCCACAAATGTGATTTGAAACGGTTTTGACAGGCAGTGACAAATTATGTCATCCTGCCAATAGGGGCATCAGTACACCAACAGCTGCACCTCCAGTCATAAGTCCGTCACGCTTCTGAAGTGTGTGGACAGCACCATCCTTACTGGGCTAATCTCTGGTAGGGATGAGTCCACCTACAGGTGGGAAATTGACAATCTGGTGACTTGGTGTGGACAAAACAACTTGAAGTTCAATGCTTGTATCATTGGTTCCCCTGAGAAGGTGATCGGCTGCAATCTCCCAACCTCCAGGACCTATACACCTGCAGTAAGGTGAGGTAAGCAGAAAAGATTGTTGCCAACCCCTACCACCTCAGACACAAACTAATTTAGACACTCCCCCCGGCAGGAGGTTGCAGCCCATCAGGATCAAAATCTCACGCCACAAGAACAGTTTGTTCTGAGCTGGCCTCATCAACGTGGCCTGGGACACGGACATGGACTAAGATGGACTCTTATCCGCCCCTCTCCCCATCAACAGTTAAACACTACACATTACATGCTCACCAGACTGTTCTCCTAAAAAATAGGCAGGTGTGGCTATAATGCTGTAAAGTAAGAATGCTTTCAAAATGTTAATAGATTATATTTATCAATTCACAAAATACAAAGTGAATGAGTGAATGAATGAATGATTGAATGAGGTGAACAAAAAACATAAATCAAATAAATTTTTGGTGTGACCAAATCACACCTTTGCCTTCAAAACAGCATCAATTCTTGCACAATGTCAGGGATTTTTGTCAGCATATCTTCAGGCTTATTATTAAACAATTATACCAAACAGGTGCCAATGATCACCAATTCAATATGTAAGTCGACAGTAATTTAATGAAACAGCTGTGTGAGAGGATAGTCCAAAAATAGAACAAATAGGATACATCTGAACTTAGACAAAGCCGTAGCAAAAGTTAGCTGAAGTGGAAAGGACTGAGTTACACTTCCTGGTATTAAAGCAAATTAGAGTTTTTATAAGAGAAAGTTAGTAAATATTTCTCACATGAAGGGGTCGTCGGCCATGCGGGGCCAGGCCACGTAGCAGAGGGTCCTGCGGGGCAGAGTTCGGGTGGTGGAGAAGTAGCAGAGAGGGAAGGCCAGAACCACAGCCAGGCTCCAGATACAGACGATGACTCCTGTGGTGGCCTTCGCTGAAAGACGAGGCTTCAGGGGATGGATGATGGCCATGTACCTGCAGGTTAGAAGTCAGTAGATTAAAAAGACATTGTGTTTGAAACCTGAACAACATATTCAATTCTTGATAACGAATTTGAGAGATATGGATTTATATATTTTATTTATGCCCTATATGTTTTAAGTTTTTGTTTATTCATGTATACATTATGGCATTTTTTTCCCCAACCCTTTAGGTTTTTGACTCCTTAAAATTAAGTTATGGCATTACAGTAAATATATGACTCGTGAGTTGGAAAAGTATTTCACAAGAAAAAGTAATGAAAAGTACACATCATTTTGTGAAATAGAATATTTCTTTCCTAAGACTTTAATCATGTTGTCACCCCTCAGGAAGCACAGCTGTGTGTAATAAAGTCTGAATAGAAATCCTTTGGCTTCATTCAGGCATTTTAACATTTTCCCTCTAGATTAATAATATAGATAATTTTCTGCGAGGTTGCCTATAAAAGTCCAATAACGCTGTGGTGTTTGATTGTCAGGGAAATTGATGGATGAATCATTCATTCAAAAAAGAAAGACTGTGATGAGATTTAGTTGGAACCACAGTGAAAGTGGCAGAAGATTACCGGCTGAACTTGAACCCAACTCAGGATGCTACATGATTTTCAATTGCCTGGTAATGCAGGCTCAGAGCCGCTAATTCAATCTTCATAAGATGATAAAAAATGGGCCTTGTGTGTCACCTCAGTGCCTGGAAATATCTGAGGGACTACAACAAAGATGCCCCGTCTATTCACCAGTAATTGTTTAGCATTTATTTTGAGTGTCCTGCTGGCCCTTGTGGATGGCAGTGTGTGAATAGCTTGTTAGATGTCCAATCAAAGGATATGCCACAGCAGTCCAGAGTTATTTGTGATCCAAGAAGCTTGCACAACGGTGGCTGAATAGACTTGTAACCACTGCACACACAATTCAACACAGTAACCACAATGCAACGCAGGTAACCCCTGAATAAAATAAATAGGATTACACATCAATCACATTTGCTGTGTCAATATCAACTGGAGTGTCCGCATCAACTGGACTTCACAGATCACAGAGACATTAGAGCAGCAAATTAATAAATCATTTAATGTTTTTTGTTCAATCTGGGAGTCTGTGATGCCTTAAAGCTTTCAGACAATGTATTGTTTTGAAACCACATCACCATAGTGTGACAACACTAACTAAACACTCACTTTATCACTGCCTGGTGTTTAACTAACAGAGATTACCTTGGATGAGACTTTCAGCGGCAGTAGCCAAACATTATGCGCGCAGCTAAATGTCAAGTGTTGGCTCAAATGTTCTCAGAGGAGTGGAGTATGTTTAATGTTTCACACACCCTCGCCTCACAGCATCATATGGTAAAAATGGATCACTTCGTCCAAATTACACCTAACAATTCCACTAATGGTGTTTTGCAATGCAGACAGGTTTTGGTTTGATTTGTTTGGATTTTGAGATATCCACCTTGATGTTTCTGCTGCCACCACAATTTACTGAACTGGACTTTTGCTTGCGGCGCAGACAGCATTGAATTATTCTTCTTTAAAAATTCAACATCTCATTCAAGCAACAATGTCCCCAATTACATTGGATACTGCATAGGCATTACTTTCAACAGTTTTCATAGAGACTATTTCCTCCTTTGAGAGTAGTTCCAGTGAAAACTGTTAACAGCAAAGCCTGTGAATTATCCAGAGTAAAAGGAACATTATCGCTGGAAAGACACTTTGCTGTTGTTGATTTTTTTAGGAAGTAATTGTTCAATGTTATTGGCACAAACACAAATATCCATTAACTTAAAGTACATGGAGGGAGAAATCTCAGAGATGGATCTCTCAAACTGGACTGATTAAACCAATATTTGCATGAGTTTATACCGAACAGGAATGGAATGGAAAACAACACTTGTTATTCTCAGAGATCTGTTCCTTTTGTCTCCTTATCCAGTTCTCCCTGCGTTGCAGTTTACATATATCACTACACTTGAAGCTCTAATGATGTGACATCCAAAGCTTCAACACAAGAACAAAAAAGGTGTGAGAAATGGAAAAAGTCAACAGCCGTGCTACCATAAAAAACTTTAAGGCTTCTGCAGTTACCTTTCACACAGTAATCTGCGTTTATTTTGCTGCAGTGCCTAAGGAAACACACTTGGAAGCACAGAGAGTGAGCAGGAAGGACAAATTCACAGATGATCATGAACTGTGGCCTCACGCCATTTCAAGACATCAGAGCGGAGACAGCACCATACTGGGGTTTTGAAAAGCATGACCCGAGGTTACATCTACATCATGTAGGTCATGCCAATGTTCTCTTTCTCAGTACACAGTTGACAGAATCGAATGGACACTGCAGACCAAAAATACAAAAGCATGGATGTTGCTGTAGAGGAGCCAAAATGAGCACGCCCTCAGGAAATGCATTGTTCCCTTTTTGTGTCAAGAAAAAGTACAGGAGGAGAAAACACCTTGCAGAAAACGACAACACACTTTGACTCTTGTACACTATCTGTAGACACACACGGCGTGTGCATGCAGCTTCTTTTTGTTTTCATTATGTCCGGCCTGTGACTGCCTCCTTCATCAGTCTAATCCCTTTATTCAAACATTATGACGTATGATGGACCACTGATCAGTATCAAAGGCCGGCAGATACTGATGACTGCATCACCACATTACTGGAAACCACAGGGGCAGGAACAGAGAAAGAGATGGAGGAACAAAGGAAAAAAGAGTAAAGAAGATAAACAACATGAGTGCATGTGACAGAGAACAAGAGAGTCAGAGAGCGTAAAAGCATTGAGGAAAGGATGATCTTTCCTAGGGTGTTGGCACAGAAGGAATCACTGCATCACAGACACTTTGCGAAACAACAGCTTCAGTATATGATTCCCTAGCAGTAAAATAAATGTAAAAATAAACATGGGGCCCATTTGAGATGGCAGTCACCCTGCTGTGCAACCTCCTTTCCAGTATCACAATGCAAATCACAAACAAGGAATTTCCCACTCCACCAGTGAAATACATGTATGCTTGAATCAGCAGGGAGCACAAGCTCTGATGAAATAATGTGGGGAGGAAGCATAAAGCCCAAAATATCCCATCAGTGGAATTTAAATTAAACTAATGGGGACTCCATGCAAGGAAGTTCTTGCATGGGCATGAGAGCAGAAAGCACATCCAATTGCTTTAACTGCATAAGCCTTGAGAAATGGAGTGCAGTTTGTCTTCAAGCAAGGCAAAACAGTGATCTGAGTTTTTTAAGCACAAGATTTCATTTTCAGCCACTGCTGGAGGAAGTCAGCATAACCAAGTGGAATAATGAGAAACGAGATGTCCGAACAATCATGCATAAAGCATCTGAGATGAAAGTGTTCGGTGACAAGGATTTTTTTCTCCCATCTGTAACGTTATATCTGGGACATTCATTTGCTGTGCATGTGCTCCGGATATTTCAGAGCTCTGATGATTAAGGTGTGTAGACAGTAGTCTGCATTAAAATTGAATATTCACCCTCATTGGTTTTCCCCTTTTTCTTCAATACACAAACTAATATTGACGATTAATATATTTCAGTACAGATATGATTTACACAGAGACGCATGTAAGAATAATCTAAATGGAAAGTAAGACTCCTTTAATAAAAAACAAAATAAATCTAGGCCTACCCACACATGTAGTTACTGATCACATATAGAGAAAAAGGGGTGAGGAGGATTTATCATCATCAGTCATTCGTTAAATATTGTTCTTGCAGCATTTCATAAGCCCACCTGTCCACAGCTATCGCAGTCATGGAGTAGATGCTTGCAAACACCGATGTGACCGGGAAGAAGTTGTGGAATTTGCAATACGCTTCCCCGAAGTACCATTCCCCGTGGGCAGCGTAGATAAAGTTTATCAAAGTGTTAAACGCGGCCATCGACGCGTCCGAAAACGCCAAGTTTAGTAGAAAGTAGTTTGTCACCGTCCTCATCCGCTTGTGGGCAAGAATGATCCATATCACAATGAGGTTTCCGAACACCGCCACCGCCAGAACGAAGCTGTAGGCTACGGACCAGAGAGCGATGCGCCACGGAGGCTGCACAAACTGGTTGGTATAGTTGGTCGTTAAGTTGGATCCGTTCTGTGGAGCTGCCATCCTTTTCTCCTTTCCCACCGACTACTGTAAATGCTTTGGTTGTTCCACGAGTCTAATCTACCTACTGAGGTGTAAATCTAGAATGGTGGAAGAGGTTTTGCGTATATGCACCATAGGGCGCAACTTAAAACACATCACCATCCCTAAAAACAGATCCCTACAGCTTTGTCTGAATTGTTCGCAATTTCAGTATAAAGTAATAGTACTACCGTGCTAATAAAAACGCGGTGAAATTTTACATGTAACAAGTATCCTCCAGTGCCTGTTGAATGTGGGTGTGAGCGCACAGGCTCTCCTCCAGCAGGCAACAGGCAGAGCGCCGTGCGCACCCAGTGAGGCGTAAGTGGCACAAATGGCGAAAGAGATCGATTGATTCTTGCAGCTGCTGTTTTAAAACGTCACGGAGAACAGATGGGCCACGCAGTCCCTCTCCACGGTATATCATCAGTCAGCGAACATTGTGTGCCTTTATCTTGTGTGACCCTTCAGATGATCTTGCGTTGCAGCATTTCAAAAGCGCCACAAACAGGATATTGAAATATTGGAGTCAGAGTGTGTACAAAGATTCACTTTTTTCCATCCCTTAGCGGTGGTGTTTATAGACTCCACACACTCCAGTGCCACCTCCTTCGTGGTGAGTTTTCATCTACTCTCAAATTTTGTATGACTCATCATTTTAAGGCTGCTCGGCCGCTGTCTTAATGCTTCCCTTATTACTGTCTTAAATCGCCCTCACTGCGCACCAGACAGAATATAAATTTATAATGCATCATCACAGTGCTGGTAGAATGGCTGTGACTCTCCCCCTTTCTCTGACATCAACATTTACAACAAACAGGCTGAAGTTCCCTCCAGACATCCAGCTGTTCACATCGGATGAACCTCCCTTATCTGCTTACATAGCCTTTAGTGCTATGGTAACCTCTACAGGGTTACATTTACATGTCTTCCATGGCTAATCCAATCCAATCAATCAAGTAAAGCTTTTCAACAGACAACTATGTTTCTGCAGAGGAATACAGTGATTGCAATCTCTTGTAGTTCTCACTCACACACATACTGTGTACACAGGGAGGACACTGTGTGGTTCCATTTCACTTTCTCTTCTTGAAATTCATCTTTAGTTACTGATAGTGTTTACAGAGAGATACAGAGCCACAAAAGTATCCAGACCAAGATCCAAGTCTGCAGAACTTGTAGGCTACCACATCACATTCATTTCTAAACTCTATAGTCTTATTCACACTTTTGCCCTGATGCTTAAAGGTATGTTTGAGTTATCGAGACTGTTGTGTGGTGCAGAAACAAACCCTAAATAATCCCTATTGAAGAAATCACTGAACCATTACAAGATGATGTTAAAATGATTGATACTGTAGAGATTTAAATCAAGGGATTATGTGTGTGTGTTTAAGGCCCAGGCTGCAAAAATCAGATGAGTTTTTGTTCTGCTCTGCAATCCCGCATGTTAATGCTAATTGAAATTCATATGAGACACTGACAATTTTGAAGTTTTCTCCCCGAGGATATGTAAATACTGCCAAAAGTATCATGATGGACACTCAGCTTAATAATACAACAGTGTTTGCAGTATGAAAATAGAGCATACATATTCAGTGATTAAGTTCATATGAATTCATGAATTTCCATATAAATATGCATATTGATATTAGGTAGAGGTCAGTATTTAGATTCTGATTCGTGGCACCTTTTTTTCTTGTGTGAACTGTAAGAAAACATTTATTGAAAGACCTAAATTTAAGCAACATTACAACTATTTTTCCCCCCAGAGAGAGTTGGTGAAAAGGCAAAACAAACAGCAACTACAGGTATGCAGATTATATTGAGGTAACCAATTACAGAAGGCATGGACCTCATCTCTACGGCTTTCACTTTGGATCTTTGATCATTATTCAAAACTCTGAGAGGTTCATGAGTTGTGTACTGTGCTATCTAAGCGACCTTTATTCAAGAGTGGTGGAAGTCTTATAATCTCGTCGTAACTGAAAAATGTACATGGCCACATGTGACACATGCAGGTACGAACTAGATACATACGCCTAAATGGGAAATCCAGTTTACAGAAGTACTGTGGCAAAGAGCAATGCACTGACTTACATACAAATTAATCACTTTTTTTTTGAAAGACTGAAGATTTTGGTTTTGCTAGACCACAATGTAATGGTCTTTCGGGTTCTGATGTAAAACAATTATTTCCTAGTAGTTCCTTTGCACTTGAGCTTTTTAGTTCCCTTCAGTGGATCTGCAGACCTGCACTAGATCAATATGATATATGATTGAAGCAGTGACATACTGGCTGTGCCAAGTGTAGTTAAATATTTAGAGGCGTCCCGATGGACTGAGGAATCCAGTGGAAATTTAATCTAGGACGTTTCATAAATACTGCTCAAAAACAAAGAAAGTCGAATGTTTTTTGTGATTGACTGACACAGGTTATAACTTTGAGGCTGAGAAGATGAAACCAATTTTCTTTAGGATGATAGTGCTCTGAAACTGACATTTGATATTCACCTTATGATGATGAAAACCTCTCTCAGTAATGTCAATAAATGTATTATTTAATTGACAGTCAGTAGAGACAGACAGGGAATACGGGAAGAAAGAGGGACATTGTGGATACATAAAATGACTAATTTCAGGTGCCTCCTGACACAACCTTCTGTGTCTTTTGAAAGGGAGAAAAACAACTTTAGGGCCCTATTAATTGTATTGTGTACATGTTATCAAAGCAGCATTCAACATACAGTAATAACTGTCAAAGAACACAGCAACACAGCAAGACAAAAGATCCAAGGTTAAAAAAAATGCTTCATTTGCATGTACTGCATATTTTCACAGTCATGTCTTGACCCCTGACTGTTCTCTCCTCTGATCCTTGAGACTGGCTGCTTAATGAGGTATCTGTGGGCTCATTGTCTGGCCGTGGCTTTGTTATGTGCATGTTGCATGGCATAGACTTGATTGTCATAGGTAATTACAGTTTTTGACATGATGTGTCATTTTTTGGACTTCTCTCGTTTATATTGTGAAAATATCAGGGCAGCAGTTGCCTAGCTTCAGCTGCAGCGTTGTGGTCAGCTCTCGCAGCTGCCTCTGTGGTGTGTCAGAACTCGTGTCAGCGCTTGGGGCTATTTGCTTTGATCAATTCAAAATGTAACCGGGGACAGCAATTTATTTGCTAATGGAAGAACATTAATCCTCAATTATTTCTCAATTAGTCCATACCTCAGACATTCAAAGCTGGACATTATGTTCCTAAGAGGAATATCATGTTAAAGCTTTACTTTGTAGCTTTTTGTGCTTTACTTTGTGTGCAAAGCGTGTGTTACTATTGAACACTAACAGACTGTTACACACCAATCAATTAAAACGTCAAGACAGTTTTGTCAATGTAGCCTTGTCTAAAATGTACTGCATGCATATGGACTGACCATATGTTGCTCTAATGATGCTGCATGGACAAGCAGGACAAGACTGGAGACTAACTTACATCTAGAGCCTAAAGAAAACTCGTACTGGACTGCAATTATCTGTGAATATCAACAACTATTCTGATTAAGCATAAAGCACCCTCGCTCCTTGAATTATGACTAACTAACTAATGATGAGGACCAGCTGAGATAAGTTATCTGTATAAATGTTAGCGTAACAGCAGGGAGCAGAGTGAAACTTTTTGCTTCTCTCCCTCCAGCACACATCTTCAGTGATTTTTTGTGCTAGCCCATTTCTTGATATGCTGTGTTAGCTGCCCCAAGATAGGCTAACAGGAGCTGAAGTTCATTTTGAGTAAATTTACTTATTAATGTAAGTTTTTATTTTAATAAATGTAAGTTTTTGATTTTAAATTTAAAAAAATTACAACGGACAATTTTTTATTTCATATTTTTATTTCATTGGGGGGAAAAAAACCTTGAAAAAAGTGTTAGCATAGTTATTACACCATTACAACACCAATAAATGTTTTCCTCTCACGCACCCCATAGAGGCAGCTCAAGCATCTCAAGGGGTGTGCACACCACACTTTGGGAATCCCTGTACTAAATCAGTCTTAAGAAAAATAAATCCCACTTCATACTTCTGCATGTAAAATACATGCCAGACATGAACATCTATTTTTGAATAATTCTGCAAAGCCCTGGATTGAGTTCAATACTGATGTTGTTCTATCTTGAACTAATGAATTCTAGATATAGTGTGCTTATGGTTAGAAAAAGTTAAATATGGTTAAGTTATTGTAAGGGTTTGGAAACTAAAACAAAGACCTGAGGCATAAGACACAATCTCAAATGTCAATTTACGGATAGAACAAGACAGGTCAAGATTCTTGCCTGTATGCTGGTGCCATGGATTGAATAAGACTAAACTGCCTCTTTGAATTAAGGAGGTGTCAAACTTTCCTACCTTCAAGACAAGTGCTAAACGGTGGCTGCTAGATGGCATTCCTAATGCGTGTATCTTAAAGCACAAGTGTGGCTTAATCCTTTGAAGTTTGCATGTTGAACATTATCATTCAGCCACTGTCTTTTATGATGTGTTTGAGGTGTTTAGGGTAACGTCTACCATGTCTGCGGATTCTGTGTTTTTTTTTATTTTTCCAGTCTTGTTATTTGTTTATAATGTCTCTTCAGACATAGAATGCTTGACTCAATTATGACAAATGGTTGGTGGGCTGTGAAAACATCAACAATGGAAATAAGTCCAGGACTCTATCATGTTGTATTTTATAATTTATGAGAATGTAGTCGATAAACCAAAACAACAACCAAAAAAATGGTAGCCATAGTTGTCAAATGGATTCAACTGACCAAACATTTCCTCTGAAATGGAGTGGAGGGATAAGGTAGTATAATATGTAAATACTCAACTAAAATGACCTCAAATTTGCACGTAAGACAGTGCTTGAGAGGCTTACTAGTGGTTGAATGGTTAAATTATAACTCTGGTGATATTCAATACTTTTCTTATTGCCAACAAATCCCATGAAAAGACCAAAACCAGCAATGAATTGATCTGTCACAGGTTTGTAGGAAAGAGCAGGTAGGGGGACCCAAACGAAGGACACTGAGCAGGTGAAGTTGAAAAGGGTTTATTTGACCAACAGAAGGTGAGCGCACTTACTTCAAAGTGTCTAAGTCCAAAATCCAAAATAAAGTGATCCTCAAGAGACAGGCAGGCAGATTACTAGGGGAACAGACAGAACACATGTTACAAAATACCAGACAAGAATCTAACTTCAGACAATAGCAGA